GCAAAAAAGGAACGACCCCACCACCTCCCAAAGTTTCCCTCTGGTTCTGGAACGACCTCCGTTCCCGATGCTACCTATCACCTTGCTCACTTTTCCCAGCTTTCTACCCTTTTTCGGAGTTTCCTCCCTCCTCCGAATATTGCCGTTAGGCAAGGGGAGGGGGGAGGAGGGGGATTCACGCAATCAACGGCAAAGATCAAATATCGAAAACAGCAGTTGCACAAGACCTTGAAACGGGCAAATTCGCGAAAAGTCAACCTTCGAAAAATTGTCCATGTGCATAGAAAAAAATTTTTTTGCGAATTCATAAGGCTAGATGCGACCCCCATCCTCCCATGGAGACGAAACGACCCTATCCCGGGGTTTTTCAGCCTGCGACGTGCCCTGACTCCATTAGGTTGTACAACAATATTCTGTTCGCAAAACATTGCCTCTGAATGAAGTACAAGAAACTGAGTTACCTACAGCGGGCTTACAGTACAACAATAGATTTTTAAAATCTTTAATACAAATTTACAGCTTCACATCAAAGACCAAACAAATAGAATTTCTCAGTAAAAACCATAAAATATGAATAAAACTATTCACAGCGCCAACTTCACAGCAATCAGTGAGACAAAGGAATAATGTGTAAGGGCACATTGACGACATACTGCAGACATTTTGCTTTATTATCGTGATGATAAAATAAATAATTTGGAACAATTTCAAAAATTACAAACATCTCATATGATACATGATCTTATTATGTAGCAGACCCTCAGGTAGCTTCACTTGTAACCTTTTTGCTCAGCAATATTCTTCAGAAACAGTTTGAATCGCGGAATTTCGAGTTGTTTCCAGTCATCGATGAACCATCTCGAACTTTGCTGAGAAATACGGAAAAGCATCGGACGATAGCAGAGTGGAGACAGTCTAAAAACATTGTCTATTTTCCCCGACTGAAATGCTTTCGCTGATTCATACTGGGCACACAATGTACCAATCAAATTTAAAGAGCACTGGAAAGGAACCTACACTAGATAAAAAAAAGTAAAAAATTGGTTGAGTTATCAAAGTTCTGAGATTTTACAAATGAAAGCCTGGTATGATGTTTTGAGCTTTCTCGAACGCTTAATATTCAGACTTTATCAACTTTTCAACTGTTTAGGTTAGCTGGCAAACTCCCTTTTGAACCCCACAACTTACGATTACTAATCTTGGAATGTCTTGAGCGTGTTCTATGTACTTATTTGTTCGTAATTTCGTTTTTTCCAACGATCGAAGATTAGGGAGCCGCCGCGTTTGCATAGGGATCGAGGGCTAATTATGCCGATTTTTATTACGTTATCACGCGCACAATCGCGAATCCGCATGAAGGGTCGTGTGACGGGCCCAACGGTGGAGAGCCTGCTAAGGTCAGCCTTTTCCTGTCAGTGTGTATTCCGAGAAACAAATGTGCAGGAAGGGCCAATATACTAGCGACCCACACTCAAGCCACCTTCACTCGTCTATCGTTTGCAGAGTGCATCGACTCACAGTTACTGACAGGATATCCAGCAGGACGACAGCGAACTTAAAGACAAGTACCGCTCAGTGTTCAGATTCTTCACTGAATCTCTGCATGAGGCCTCGCTCACTGTTTGCGACACTGAAGAGCAAGGAATATAAAAACCGGAGAATAGGAGAATAGTTTCCCAATGAAAGCTTAAACATTGATAGGTGAAACTGGGAGCAAGACACAGTTCGGGAGGACGAAAGCCTGGATAAGAATTGATTGAAACCTGTCTTCTGATTCTCCCATTTTCGCGTTCCTCCAATCCGCTAATAACCGAAGCCAGTTGATTCGGTCCTTGGGCTCGCATTCGCCCAGTCTGGCACCTTCTCTGTTTCTCCTGTTCTCCCATTTCACCCGATCGATGATTACGGGTGCCGATTCTCCTATTTTCCAGTTTCGTGAAGTATGAGCGCTAGTGTGAGCTAGAGCTAGCTCGAGCGAAGCGATAGCACGATCCTATCGCTCCATTGTTCCAATCGCGCAATCAAAGCAATCGGATCGCAAAGTATGGACGCGTTCTTATAACACATTAGAATATTCGAGAGAAAGTTGAGGGCTATTAAAGTCTTTTCTGTAAACCCAACATAACGACATTTTCGAATGATTTTGTCTTGATCTTGTATTTCCCTAACACCCGACCCACTGCAGACAAATTTTCCAATTCACTGTTTGAAACATTTTTGCTAAGCAATGCTTATACTGAATATATTCACTTAGTTCGTAACAAATCCTTATGCAGCTTCACCATTCCACCAGCCGGCTTCCCGATCAATTTCTCTGCAGCCTCGTCAGAAAAGTGTACTTCTATTACACCGCTGAAGTCCGCTATTTCTGCCTGTAAGAAAGAATAGCAAGCCAACATCTACCAGCTCTCAGCTTTCCCACAGTAAAACTCGGAGGAAAAGGTACTCACATGAAGGGAGTAAAAATATCGAGCCTTCTTGCTTTGGCAATTTTGGCACGGTTGAACACCATCAGGACCTTGAACAGCATACCTTCTACACGTGGTGCAACTAAATAATGAACCATTTACAAATAAAAACGCTGAATTAAGTGAGACTGTAACCATCTGCTTTGCGCACTCCCCCAAACCACGCAAAAATTGAGACGACAAAAAAGGCAAGTAAAAAAACAACATGGTTTGGATTCAAGAGTTTGAACTAGACGAAAAAAGTAAAGTAATGATTCCCCTCGAGAAACAGGCAGCTATGATGAGGTCATTTAGAGTGCGTTCATACTTTGCACCAGCGCTTCGACCGACTAGGAAGATATGGGTATCGATAGAGCGTTTTGAGCGTATCCTTGGTACGCTGATGCACGCTGGCGTATGCTCAAAAGGAAGACGCGTAGTATGAACACACTCCTAGAGTCGCCTATGGTAAAGTAGCATCACTGACCCTAGGATACACCAAAGGCTTCGTAATGAATGCTACAAATCCTAGCCATAACAGTTGACGCTTCGGTGGAGTATTCACTGAGACGACCAATCACACGAAGAGCTGTTGCCATCAACTAGAAATAGGTAGGGAATATTGTTGGCGAAAGTGTATTCAAAGAATGAAATTGTTCTTAAAATTGAATTACATGTAAAATAGTCTTCCGATGGTGTTGTGTCGAATAGACCAGTAAGAAACAGTCGATGAAGACATTCCGCTTCAGGGTCGCGGGGCTCCACATCAACGAAAGCTGAGTCGTTCAGAATGAGAGATAATGTGCCTGTAAAGGGGCTGAAATTGCAGGCGACCAGAAAATTTCCTGCCGTGTAGTTGCACGGATCTTCTTCGTACATATCCATTTTATAAGTCGGACGTGCAGCGCGCGAAGTTGGGTGAGCAGAACTAGCTGGTATTCTTGTACTATACCTTACCCTGACTTCGTTTTATTACAGCTCCTCCGATGGATATCACGGAGCCCGCTGAAATGTCAGTCGGAATGGAACTCGATAGCAGTTCAACCTGCACTGATTCTCCATATCGATCAGCCTACCTGTAAATACAATATTTTCCGAAGACGGTCCTTCCAAGTGCGAGGTGAATGGTTCTGCTGTGGCGCACCACTTTCCCCGCTCAGAATTGCACGGGAACGGGGCTAGAGGGTAGTGACGCCCGAGGGGCATCTTCATACTCCTCCGC